AGAGAGGAAGAGAGAGAGAGAGAGTTCGTGTGTATATATGTGCGTGTAGTAAAAGTAGTATTGTGAATACCCGTGCCAGTTCGGATGCAGTCCTACCCAGGTTGTTGGTCAATAGCGTTCAGTAAATGATTCTCTCCTGAGAAAAAACAAAGGAAAAGTTCCAAACGTCTCCGACTCTAAAATACCCCACGTTGTGTCTTTTCGATGCTCTCACGATCAAGCGAAGAACGACGCAGAAACCTGTCTCTGTCAAAAACACGTTGACTTGACTGAACACTTTTGCACTCGGCTCGGGAATACTCCGCTTTTGGACCCGGAACCTATGGAAAACGAGTTTGACCTGTTGTTTAACCTGACAGGAGACGCGGCCGAAGTGAAATTATGGCGGGGATCACTCCCGGCAGCCGGCAGCCCAAGGGCTTGTGAATACAAGAAATTATAGCTTTTGCGCACGGAATGCATGTGTGCGCATTTTGCCACCGGGATTTCCTGGAATAATGGAATTGGCTACGTTGGTGCTTTGGGTAATTTCTTTACGATGGTGCGCACCACGAACGCCCGGAATGTTCGTATGTTCTTTTCTTTTTGTGATATTTTTAAAAGGAATACTGTCTCTTTAATGTTTGTTTTGGGGGGGTTCTTTTTGTTTTGTTTTGCTCTGTTTTATTTGTTTTTGTTACTATTTTCCGAATCAGATCATGTGCCAGGCGCTTTACTTTTTCTCAGCGGAGTGATAAGATCACCATGATGTCGGTGTGTTTGTCTTCCAATCAAAATATTTTCAAAAGTTAATGTCCTTTTCTTCTGATGTATTGGTTGACCGTGCAGTATGATGAATGACGATGCTTCCACTACTTTTCCCCATGATGGATTCGTGAATTTTAGTTATTTTTTGGAGTGTTCACGCATCACTGCGCCACTTGGCATGACGTTTTCAGGGATTAAATCTTTGTTTGGTTGTTGTTGTTGTTGTTGTTGTTGTTGTTGTTGTTGTTGTTGTACACAGAAACATTCTAAGAAAACATACAGTGCAAGCAGCCGATTAAACGCTCAGACACTAACAAACTGACAAGGTCTTTCACCACCTGTTGCCGGGTACCTTTCCCGCCTGGATGAAGTGAGGAAAAACGACGTGTAAAATGCCTTATCTAAGGATACAACTTCCAGTCGAGCTAAGTCTCGAACCCCTGAACCGGCAACCTCACGATGACGAGCCCCATTACCTGACCACTAGACTATCTACGCGACTAAATAAGTGATGTGAAATCATTGTTACCCTCTCTTGGTTTGTTATAATGGTGAAATCCCCTTCCCCCACCCGCCCCATAATTGTAAGGAAGACAGTGCACAGTATGGAGAAAACCTTCTGTCTTAATTTGATAGCTGGGAGTTGTCACGCGGGTGGTTGGAGGGCGCCACTGATAGATTCTACTTCTTTACTTTCCCTCTGTGGTTTCTGTATGTCTGTTTGTCTTACTTTTTCCCGGCACTAAATGACCGTTATTGTTTCGATGTCCTTCTTCCTACTCAAAACAAACAAGGGAGAATCACTTTGCTCTGACCGTTCCCGTCTTGCGACACCTCCCGCTGTGTCACTGGGGAACTGTTCTCGCCAAAATGTGTACAAAATCGTTGTGCCCTACTGATTTGATAAGGCCCACTTTCCTGATTCTCGCATGTCTTCATTCTTCCGGAGTGCCACCGAGTGAGAAAGCGCATCCCAAGTGTTGATTAATTGTTCTGCATTTTGCAAAGAAGCCTGTAGTGGCCGCCAGTAAGTTGCTACCGGTTTTGCTACGTTTCAGAGTTTCCGTATTCTATTTTGTTTTCTGGCTTAATGCATGAATAAAACAACTCAGTCGAACTTTGGCAGGATTTGCCTTAGCTGGCGTAATATCTTCTGCGTATGTAACTATCTTGTAATATTTCATATTAATTTCCGCTTGTTTTCCTTTTCCACCCCTCTCTCCTCTCCTGTCCAAATGTTTGTGTTTCTTTTAATTTCTTCTGTCTGTCGTCGTTTTGTTTTCATGCCCCCTCCCCTTCGTCTCTCTCTCTCTCTCTCTCTCTCTCTCTCTCTCTCTCTCTCTCTCTCTCTCTCTCTCTCTCTCTCTCTCTCTCTCTCTCTCTCTCTCTCTCTCTCTCTCCTCTGGATGTTTCTTTCTTTCTTGTTCTTTTTCTTATTTTCTCTTTGAGGGGAGGAAGAAAGCCGGAATGGGATGGAGTAAGGGCTACTAGGTCCACTGATTTCCTTCAGGAGTTTTAACCACCAATGATCAAATTTTGTATGTGATCACTTATCCCCAGATTGTTCGTGTGGGGCATTTATTTTGGTTGTCATCTGTATATCCTTCTTTGTTCATTACTTTTTACTCTCACGCGGAACCAGCAGGAAAGAATGAATCTTCCTCCGCTCCAACAACTGTCAAAGAAAATTTCTTTTTATGATAAGACTTCACGGTAGCGACAACATCTCTGTTAAATGCTTAGCTTCGTTTCTGCTTCGTGTTCTACTTTTCTTCTTTTTTCTTTTTGGTGCTTGACCGACTTCACTGAATATGCAAAACAAATGAATGAATGAATGAATGAATGAATGAACGAACGGATAAATAAATGAATGAATAAATGAATGAAATTAATTTGTTGTGTTTTTTGTTTGTTTTTGTAAAGTGTTTTACGGCGCTCGCAACTGCATAGGTCATATGAGCGCGCGGGACACACCTAATATTTTCAGTTGGTAGGAAATTTTGAATTTTGCCCGGGTGGCGGCCGAAGCCTACTCTTATCGATTTTAGACCACCAAGGGATCTTTAACGTGCGCAACTTGCACACGGGCCCTCCGAGATTTTTCGCCCTTGTCCGAGAAGGCTAGGTGTAGATCTTTCCTACCAGAAGATCAGGGGTGTGGCAGAAAGACAGCAGTAAGGAGGAGCCAAGGAGTAGCAGTAGAAAGGCTGCAGAAAGTCAGGAGCCCAGAGGAGGGGGCAAAGGAGGTGAGGGGGTGGGGGCAGAAAGTGGAAATAAAGCAGACAACAGAACATTGCTAGAGAGCAGGAAAGGAGGTGAAAGGAGACAATGTTAGAGATGACAATTTTTTGGTCGCTACCCGGAATCGAACCCGGGACCTTTGAATGAGAGGCCAACACCTTAACCTCTAGGCCACGAGAGCTCCCTGAAATTAATTAATTAATTAATTAATTAATTACTAAATAAATAAATAAATATTTCCAAGTCCAGTATTATGTCGACAAATAGATTTCGACAATAGATCAGCTCCTTGAGACCATTTTTTGTAACTGTTCCTTTCACACCAATTCAACGTGTCGACCAAACATTTGGCGCATCAAACCAAATAAAAATACTCATTATATTCAAGTGATAAAACAACGCCCCAAACTTGCGTTTTTATAATATTATTGATTTTATATGACATGATGTGATAAGTGACGTTTTTGTAAGTGATACGTATTGTTACATGTATTACTCTGAATAACATCAACAGAATGTCATAGGGAATCAGAATAATAAGTACATTTCTACGAGATAAAATGCGATAACATATTAGTGAAGCTATAAGGGGGCATCGTATGATGTGATGTGCTTGTCACCATTGGTTGATTTACTATAGTACATGTATGCGTATCAGATAGTCTGCTTATGTGTTAGCGTCAATCTAAAAAGTACATTCACGCACGTTCACGCACATGTATTTTGTGTTAAATTTAAGGTGTTTTGTGGCGCTTACAAGAATGGGAACTTTAGGTAGAATTGAAATGATCTGCATTATTTTATTTTTTATATTATTATTATTATTATTATTATTATTATTATTATTATTAATTTTGTTGTTGTTATCATCATCATCATCATCATCATCATCATCATCATCATCATCGTCTCGGCCTCGATATATCGATTGTTTCCTTCGAGGGTTTATCTGCAAAATAAGGCTATGTAATGATGAAAAAAAGTAATCAAACGGAAACGTCTGGGCGTATTCTCTGGAAGATATAACAAGCCTTTTAAAATATTTTTTTTCATCTGTCAATAGTCACTCCAGCCTTGCTAATGTCTTCCACAGAAGATATAAGTAAGAGAATATTATTACCATGATTTTAACGAGACCTGGTTACCCTTTTAAGACAGTTTTGTTTATTTTTCATTTTATTCTGTGCTAATTTATTTTTTTAATTTTTTTTTGGGGGGGGGGGATTCCGTTTTACCACTAATGCCTGGTACACGTAGGACCAATATATTCGAGCACAGAGCCAAAGAATTGTGCTCCAATTCCTACAGTAGCTCTTAGACTGAAACCAGAAATACCATTTCATGCAAATCTACCTACCAATTATATTTTTTTAAAGACTGAGGGCAACGATCTTTTACTTACTCCATACATCTATCTACCAATTATTGTTAAAAGGTTGAGGTCGACGGTCTTTTACCTTCTAGAGATCGCTGGTTTGGAATCGTAGCATAAGAGAGACAAGGTCGCCCACAAAGCTAGTCAGGTGACCACGTTTTTGTATAGAGAAAGAAAAGTGGCAATTCTGTAGGAGGGCATCACACAATGTAATTAAGTTCGTTCGAGGAAAGAAAAAGAGGAACCCCCCCCCCCCCCTCCTTCCCTTCCACTTTTTTCAAAACTATTTCCCATCTCAATCCGATCTCATCTTTTCGCATGCAAGGAATCTATACACACGTGTGTGTGTGTGTGTGTGTGTGTGTGTGTGTCTGTGTCTGTGTGTGTGTGTTTGTGTGTGTGTATGTGTATGTGTGTGTGCGTGCGTGTGCATGTGTGTGTGTGTGTGCGCGTGTGTGTGTGCGTGTGTATGTGAGAGAGAGATAGAGAAGATGAGTGAGAGAGAAGAGGGAGAGTGGGTGGGTGAGTATGTGTGCGTGTGTGTGTGTGTGTGTGTGTGTGTGTGAGAGAGAGAGAGAGAGAGAGAGAGAGAGAGAGAGAGAGAGAGAGAGAGAGAGATCATGTTTTGTATTTTTCTGTCAATGAATAGTGTGCATATTCGTGTCGCCATTGCTGTAAAAAAAAAAACCGCCTTCATCGTTCACAGAATTGAATGCACTGTGTCAGTATGATCAATTTTGATTATGATTGTCACTTTTATTGTCAGTATCATCATCACCTTTAATCATTCACGAGTAATTTTGTTTTAGTCATCATCTTTGATATCATCATCATCGTCATCATCATCATCATCGTCATCATCATCATCATCATCATCAACGCCATTATTTTATTAGTGGTATGATAGCAGCAGCATTAGCAGAAAAAGATGCAGAAGCAGCAGTATTCATGATGATTACTATGACTGTAATTGTAGAAAGGATGGTTCTGATAGTACTAGTAATTGAGGTATTGGTGGTGACATTACCAACATACTGGTCTGGTACAGTATAAAGCATTATTGATGGTTCCTGTTGAGAGTGTATGTTTTCAACGACAGAAATGAAACTGGCTATATTATACAATCACGCATTGAACTTGTACATCAGGGGCACATCATCTTGAGAATGTAAATGTCGTCCAATGCGATGGCGCCGTTGTCCGCGGTTGCCTCAAGCTCCAACTGGTACCACAGTCCTACGGGCAGCTGGATGCTCAGCCTTACAAGGCCCCAATGGTCCCCCAGTGCCCCGCTGTACTCCTGGACTGGCTGTCTGTACAGCAAAGGTCCCGCTATGTACACGGTCAACTTAGCAGATGCGTCCTTCTGGTAGATGCCGAACTGAAGGCACGTGAAAGCTGTCTCAGACTTCATTATTGGCGTGAACAGGGAAGCTCTGAGCTTGGGGGACTTTGAGCTTCCAGCGAGATTTGCGCTGCTTGTGTCGTCTTGAGCTGTCTTTGTGGCTTCGGTTTCGGTGTTTTGGGACCTTATTTGTGCCTTTGCTTTTGTTGTCTTTGTTTGTGTTGTTGTTGTACTTGCTATTTTTGTTTGGGATCCTATTTTTGTGACTGGTTGCTCTGGTCCTGATGTTGCCGCTGTCGTACCTCTCGATTTTGCGTTCCCCGTCACTCCATCTGTTGACCCTGTTTTCGCTGGTGGAGCTGTTGACAGCCCAAGATAATCGGCTGTTGTTGGGTTTCTCGTCAACGATTCTGCTGTCGAGGTCATTGTCTTGGTCGATGTTTGCTTCTCGTCTGCGGCAGAAGTTGTTTTTGTGACAGACTGTCCGGCCTCTTTCGTGCTGGCGTTGATTGTCGTAACATCTTTGCCCTCGGTGGACTTCCCGGTTTGAGTCGATATTTTCGACTCCATTGTTGTCTCAACGGGTAGTGTTTTAGTCGATTCGGTCGTCTTCCCCATCTCTTGTTCGTTCTTTTCCAGCCAAGTCATTAGAGAAGTATCAACAGACACGTACAAGAACGGGTCGAGGCCATTTGTGTAACCAGCCTTGGGGCCGTCGGGCGTCGACTGAGTTATACGTATCCAGGAAGTGACGTCTGTGGACGCGGGTTTGACGTGGAAGTCGCACGTGTCGTCGTCAAAGTTGCACGAGGTGTGCAGATTGGCCGGGGAAATGTCGGAGACTAGGTTAGAGGTGTCCTCTGGACAATTGTACTGACGCTGCACTTTGATCACGTCGATCGGTGTCAGGGCAAATCTGGGAACACATGAATCGAAAAGATGTATTTGCGATGGATAGAAGGAGAAGGTGGAGAAGTTAGAGAAGAAAAAAAAGAAAGTCGCTGCAAGAAGAAAGAAAAAAAGAAAAAATGGTAGGGTTATTGGGGTTTTTTTCCCTTTTTTTCAAGACTCCCATCTTGATTCGATCTCTTCGCGTGGAAAATGGGATCGTTCACAGCACTTTCTGCTTCTCACAAACATTCATGCATTCGCTTAAGTATGGTTTACGTCACAGCTCACCAATGACACTTTTTAGTGGCAAATCTGGTTAGAAGAAATTAATTTTATAGTGAACACTTATTAATTTTATACTAAAGGTTTTCAAAACATGCGTTCAATAATAATAATAATAATATCACGATTCGAAAATAGCAGTGGACTTGCTTTTAAAAGCGATATTGTCCCAGGTCTTAAAAATCTGTAGAAACCACCCACTGGAAATTTCAATTAGTATTTTCTAAGAATAAGATACAGCTAACAGGTGTTTACAAAAGCAATATTGATCTGTTAAGACGAATTAATACACGTCACTTTGCAAAAGGTTGAGACTTTATTTTCGATAATTGAGGAAATATTTGAAAATTTGTTGCGCCACAAATTTTTGATGCACCATAGTATGTCTCCCC